ATATTACAGTGACTCAAAATCTTACAGTGACTCAAAATAATGATAGTGATTTATCTATATTATTGAACGAAAATCTTCCAGATGATATTGATGAACCTTATCATGATATGTTACCATCATGCTCAAAAAATTATAATAAAGTATTCAATCCTTCATCTATAATACCTATTCCAAAATTATTCAATATTTCATCGGATAAAATATCTAAAAAAAAGAATTCAGAAATATTAACATCTACACCTTATAAAAAAAAATTATTAATTCAGAGAAAAAAAAGATATCAAAAAATAATTGTTTATGTGTTATTTGTAATAAAAACTATAAAAATAGTCGCGAGGGCGATGAATGGCTAAAATGTACAATGTGCCTTGAATGGGCACAGTCTAAATGTGCTAATTATGATAATTATTTTACATGTCCTTATTGTATCGATTAGTTTTTAAATAAAAATCATAAATAAATCTTAAATTTGTAATATTTGTTAAATAAAACAATAAATATGTGTCAAATATATTTTAACCACTTTAACCTAGTGCTTATCCATTTTACCCTGTACCCAGGGTAAAATGGCGAAAATGAGTAGTTTTACATAACTAATCATAGCTCCTAGAATATTATAGGTAGAGGGCTACACTTTTTTTTATCTTGTAGAAGAGAGATGGGGCTACACATTGATCTATAATTTGTTGTGTTTGACTCTTGTTTAAAATTTTTATGGTAAATATTCAAAATGCCTATCGTTTTACCCCGGTCTCCCCTATATCTGTATATGTATACAGCTTGATACATTTTAAAGTATCTTTTAATAACTCTAGTAGTTATTTATGAAGACACTATCGTCATTTGAAAAAATTTAGAAAGGAGGAGGTAGGGGTAATTTTTATTAAAATTTCCCATTGTTGATCATTTTGATTTGGTAATGGGGGGATGAGGTTTTAGAGGGGGCAATGTCATTGCTAAGGGAGTGTAAAAATCCCGGTGTTAATGGCCTATGAAATTTAAATAAATTAACAATTTTTTTTTAAACGAGCTATAAAACTATAATAATGATATAAACATTTTTTTTTAATTTTTATTTATTTCATACGCTAAACGTTATTTTTTATTATTAGGATATAAGAGGAATCATGACACAAGATCACATCTCTAATTTGAGGAGGGGAGGGGATAAGATGCAATTGCATCATCAAAATTTTAGTGAGTTAACTCAAGAGATACTCTTTTAGCCAATAAATATAGCCAGTATCCATTCATAATCGAATTTTTTAGAATTTGGGGGTGGGGAGAGGTACGTACAGAGATCTCTTTATTTATAAGACTCTTTTATAAACAAGGTGATTATCTATAGAAAATAATTTTAGATATTTAAATTTAGTTGGATATTAATCAAAAATATTTTAAAACTATGACTAAATTTTAATAATCAAAAATTTTTGGAGACTAGGACTTAAGCGCTGCTTACAAGTATTCTACATTAATATGCGCTTGCGTTGCAATTCGACCCTAGCCAGAGAAAATTAACTCATCATTAGTAGAGAATAAAAATAATAATTTTTTAAACACTACAAAAATACTAATGAGGGATTCTCAAAGATCGAAAATTAATTCACGTGGAAACATTTTGCCATTAGCAAGGAACCAGGTAAATTTATCATATTTATAAAGGAATCTGCATTATATCTGTTATTGGAAAAAAAATTTTAACTTAGGAAAAAAATAATAAAACTTTTGTAATCAGACATTGAAATCGAAATTAAACCATTGAACATTAAAACACAGAAATGATTTGCCATGAATCAATATTATCGTAATCAAACATATTTTCCTATTTTCGATTCTCATTCATTGATAAATTCATATGTTAAATGTATTTGATTTCGATGCATTTCCTATACAACTTTTTTTAAGCACTGGAATTTATTTTCTTTGATTATTAACAAAATATATATATGCTATATATATATATTAACACATATTACAGTATAAATTATTTACAAAATAACATTAATAATAAATATTTTTATTTGTTTTGAGAATGTATATATAAATTTAGCATATTAATACTGAATAGGAGTTCTACTCTCTAGAAAAAACTATTTTTTATTATAAATAATTTTAACATTCGGAAAATTATTAAAGCAGCTCATTTCTTTTGCCAATTGTCAAGGTTTTGTTTTGCATGTAGATTTAAAACTTTAAATTTTAACATAGGCTATAACAAAAAAAGACGATATTTCTTAAAAATTCAAATTAAATATGCAATAAATTGTCAAAAATTATTTTATAAAATAATTTAGATTAAGTGATTAGTATTTATTAAAATATAACAATTATATAATTAATATTTTATTAATTAAAGAAGTGAAATTTATTAATTTGGAAATTAAATATTTTATTATTTTTGGAAATTAAATATTTGTTTATATTTATGAATTTATATTAAGATTTAAACTTTGATAGTAAGATAAAAACTTATTGATTTTCTATACCAAGAAAGTAAAAAAAAAAGATCGTGATTATTAAAAACTTTTATTTAAACTTTTAACTTATTTATTTTATATTATTTATTTAAAAATATTTTATTTATTAACTTTCTTCATTTATTTAGATTTTTAACTTTAGACCTTTTTAATATTCTATCTTTTGCTCTTTTAACAGGTTCTTAAAAAATTTTTAACACAAAGTCATTACAAAAAAAGACTACCGATATATTTTTTTAACAACTTTGATTTAGAAAAAAGAACAAGTGTAATATAATTTTTTCTTCAATTAATAAAAATAAGTAAAGTAATACCATAATAAAACATATTATATATAAAAATAAGAATATAACAATAAAATAATTAAAATACACGACAGTGATATGGCTATGATACATCAAAAAGTCAGTATCTTAGTTACAATTCGATACAAAAAACATATAACCATATTGCCGACTAACTGATAAGAGTTTAATAATGTATGATAATAAAATATTTTTTAATATATACCTTGTATAATATAAATATTTAATAAAAATTAAACTCAAAGCTTAGAAAGATCATTTTATTGAAACCACCAAAATATCAGCAAATATCTTTGAATTATTCCAGTTTATAAACAAATTATATAATATTTATATCTGAAACAAGAGTTAATCAAATATCATATTGAGTTTTTTTAAATTTTTCAATGTTAAAATTTTAAAAAGATAAAATATATGTTTTTAAAACTAGAAAATTATTATGATCAATACAGATTTAATAAGATTGAGTGCAATCAATGCAGTGTTTCCCTTTATCTAATCTTATAATTTCTATTATTCCTGGCAGTAGGGAGCTTCTACATGACAGTTTCTCAAACACCCCTCAAAAACCTATGCTTACCCTAAAAAAATTTCGCCTTCCCATTAATAATTACCCCTTTTTAATTATACTGGTACCCCTTTCATAAATTTTAAAAAGAATAACTTAAATTATTTTAGCTCTACTACCTACTATCAAAATATTATGAATATTAAAGAGTTATTTATTAGATCATGAATTCAATTAAAAAAGACCCCTCATTTACAATGAATGCATTATTATAGCATATTGTTTGGTAGAAATATGAGTTTGATGAGAATGTCTAACCCTTTTAAATTGCAATTTAAAAGGATAGCAGAAAGTTTTATTTGGAAAATGTCTATAGTTGTTTGTAATATATAAATTTGGTAGATGATCAGCAATATCATTATATTATAATAGGTCTATAATTTTTACAGCAATATATTTTGCCATTTAATAGATAACCCCCAATAAATTTATCCTACCTTCCTTAAAAGTGCCTGCCCCCTATCCCTTCAAATAAAATTGGATGCAAACTATTCCTAACCATCCCCCCGTTCATGTAGACACTGGCTGGGGGGTAGTGTTGTTCAGCGTCTACATGAGCGGGAGGGGTAGGAATTTGCATCCTATTTTTTGAGGGGGTAGGCCGTTTTAATGGGGGTAGGATAAATTTTTGGGGGGATTATCTATTAAATTTTGAGATAAAATAGGACAAAATTTATTGATGTAAAAATTAATACTTTTATTATAGAACTATTATAATACAATTCATCGATTAAATCTATATATTGCAAACAATTATACATATTGTTTTCCAATTAAAATTTCTGCTATCCTTTTAAATTACACTTAAAAGGTTTAGATATTTCAGCAAGCTCATAAAGTTATAATAATTAATTCATTGTAAATAATGGAGGATTTAATTGAATTTATTATTTAAAAAATAAACCCTTTAAAAAATTTTTTAGGGGGGTAGGCAAAGGTTTTTGAGGGGGTTTGCATCCAGTGAAAATCCTGTCATGTAGACGCTGGTGTTGTTAAACAGTTCGATTTTAAAAAATGGCCAACCCAATATTTTAGGCCAAAAATATAATGCAAGCCTCAAGATTTCATTAATAGATATCCAAATCTTTCAGCAGTCTTAAAATTTTCCAAGCTTATGTAATATTTTTTGCCTAAAATATTGGGTTAAAGCCTTCTAATAACAATAGCTTGTGGTAGTGGCATCCATATTGACACAGCTATATTTTTAGAATGTATAAATTTATTTTATTTATATGTATAGAAATGAAACTTTTTACTATAACAAAAAGAAATAATTATCAACACGTTTTTTTCGAACAGGATAAAGTTAAAAACTTTTACTACCCCCACCCTTCAGAAATAAATTTGGCCAAGTGGTAATTTTTCACAATGCTTAATTTTTGAAAAAGTTATTGCAAGGCGTTGAGAGGATTGCCAGATTTGTCTTCCTTGAATATGTGTTTTTACTAAAATTTGACCATTTTTATGCCCTTTACGTTATTTTGTCAATTTTTAAAATCTTTTATAATATATTAGTAAATATTATCATCCATCGTTATATAATAATTACAAACAATACACTGCTTATGATGCATATTATTATTTCATTATAAAAGTTATCAAATAATCAAAATATTAAATATACCATATGATTGTATTATTATACCACTAGGTAAGTTTAAAAAATCAAGACCCTAAATGCAAAACTATGATTGAATAAAAAAATTCTTTTCCTGCAATGGTAATCATTATGAATGAAGATTATTCGTCGGAATCAAACGAAAAGGGAAATGAATTAGTTAAATTGCCTCTAATTAAAGGTAAAATTACTTGATTAATATTTATAAGATATGATAATATAAAGAATTGAGTGATTCACAAGAAATTGAGAAATTATTTTTGCAGAAGCTTGATCAATGTTGTGCTTTGTTTGATTTTACCTATGATCCATTAAGTGATATCAAGAGTAAAGAGATAAAAAGGATGGCACTTAATGAATTAGTTGAATATGTTGTAGACAACAATGATTCTATAACTGAAATAATTTACCCAAAACTTATTGACATGGTATGATTATTATTAATATATAATTATTTGAGAATTTTTTTTACAACAGTTTAAAATAAATGCTTTTCGAACATTACCTCCTTCATCAAACCCACATGGGGCTGAATTTGATCCAGATGAAGATGAACCAGCTTTAGAACCTTCTTGGCCTCATCTACAAGTTTATAAACATACGTTTATTAGATATAACATTGTTGATAGATTGTTTATGAATTGTTACTGAGATTTTTGGAATATAATGATTTTCAGATAAACATTGCAAAGCATTATTTGGACCAGCCCTTCATACTCAAAGTAATGAATGGTATATAAAATAATATTTTATTATCGATCTTAAGCATAAATATATTTATTGAATCAGTACATATAATATATAAATAATTTCTTGCTTTTTTTACAATAAAATGGAGTAATTTTTAGGAATATCACATAATGTATTAGTTTTCTTTAAAAAAATTGCATTATAACCTCTTTAATTTAAAATAAATTTGATAACTTTCCAATAAATAGTAAAAAAAAAGAAGTTTTTTGAAAGTGCATTTATTTTAATATTTTGTAATACAGTACAGTTATATCGAAACATTTTTGTTCTATCTCCATAATCATATTTTAAAAAATTTACTTAAGAAACTATAATAAAATTAGCCTTCCAAAGTTGCCAGATGTTGCATTTATTTTATGCAAATTATAACCCCCCCCCCCCCCCCCCTTCTATTTAAAGTTTGCTTATGTAAAATTTTTTATTATAAAAAAACATTTATTCCATATTTTATTTAGATTTAAGAAATAAGCCCAGAAATTTATATTATAATCTTATCATAGTTTGGCTTTCTTCATTTTCAAAGAATATTATTTTCTTATCTATATTTACTTATAATGATTTCTTGAAATATATTATGTTTCATTAACATATAAATTTAGTCAAAATTTTGCCTATATATAACCTTATTAAAAAGTATTATATCACTGAATCGTATATATTATATTATAATTCATTATTTATTCTTGTTACATATCGATTTCTAATAGTCGATAATATCATTTTTATCCCGCGAAAGTGAGACGGAATATTGGGTCATGAGCGGATTAAAAAATAATAGGGGATACTTTTTATATATCCACGATTAAGTACCGTAAATAGTTTTTTTAGATTTGTTTTTATGAAGCGCATGGAGAGTGACGGTAGGCTTTAACGTGATTGGTGTTAATTTATGGAAATATTGTTTTTCTATCAGTAATTGATTGATCGAAATTTCGTGTGGGGACATTTTCTTACAAAAAAAATATATATTATATTTAACATAATGAACTCAGTTTAATTTGTGTATAATTGTTATTCGAAAAATTATTAAAATTTATAAAAAATGACAGATATAAAAATTTATACCATTAGCTTTTCTTTTATACCCTTTTTAAAAGATAATCTATTCACTAGTTCATGAAGTTCTTTATATTAGTAATATTCTTAACCAAGAGTTTGGTTTTTCTGAAAAATTTTGGTAAAACTGAGGATGTGTTTTGGTAAACAGCTCTATTTCAGCTGATTTTTTAAAAAAAATGGCTAACTCAATATTTTATAAATATATTATGCAATCTTGAAGATTTTGCTCATCGATGGCGTAAAGGTTTGTGCATCTATTAGCGAAATCTAGAGATTTAGGCAAATATTTTTATGGCTAAAATATAGCGTTAGCCGTTTAACGACACTTTAAGTATAATCGTCTTGTCAACCGCTGTTAGATTAATACCATTATAAACCCTTGTTTTTTTTTGAACGTTAGTTAAATATTTTAAACAATAAAGGCGGATTATTAATTTAAACAATAAACGCGAATTCTTCTGGAATCTAATAAATAATACATAAAAAGATCCGCGGGGCCTGATGACGCCTTCGCACCTTGAGGACCTTTATAGTGCGTAAATGGTTCGTTTAAAAAGTAGCCCTTGAAGAAATTTATATTTTTTGGCATATTTTTTTCTTATTATAATAAGAGATATGTTATTATGTGATTTTAAAAGAACCTTTTTTTATTTTTGAAAATAAATTTTAAAAAGTTGCTTTTGATAATAAATTATATAATGTATTTATTATAATAAAATATTTTTCAAAAGATAACTTACATTTACATTTTTTATATTTTTAGGCATAAAAACCCTTAGAGCTTAATAGTACTTTAAAGCGAAATCAGGGCTCACTATAACCCCATATTTATTATAACACAAATCTATATACCCGGGTTTGGTAAAATAAAATTTTAAACCTATAAAAATTCAAATTTGATGATTTTTTTAAAGTTTCCTTCGTGAAATATTTAAAACTCGTACATATAGGATCGGGCTGAGCCGAGTTAATCTCTGATCTATATCATCTTTATAAAAAATCGGTGAGATCGGTTATTTGTCGATATCAATTTGATATCCTAAATCCGTAGTTCTCAAATAAATCAATATTCGATCGTTTAAGAAGAATCTCTGGAATAGGCTTACTCTCTGTATTGCATGATACAAATATACATCTTACAAAAGCGGATAACTCAGCCAGAAAAAATAAAACAATGGTTTAAGCATCTGTTAGCGAAATTTTAAGGGCAATATCTTTCTGGCTAAAATATTGAGTTAGCCGTTTTTAAAAATCGGCTCAAATCGAGCCGTTTATCAACCCTACCTTTCATGCACTGCCCTTATTAATAATACACAATTATCTCTTATATTATCTTAAATTTCTTTCTTCTTTTTTTTACAACATATTTTTTGAAATAGCATAATATTATGATATCTAACCAAAACACTAATCTACGATGATAATAATATTTTTTCGAAATTTATATATTATCGAGACTAGTGTACGGCTCGATTTGAGTAGATTTTTAAAAACGGCTGACTCATTATTTTACCCAGAAAAATATTAAGCAAGCCTGAAGATTTTTCTCAAAGATAGCACAAAGGGTTGGGTATCTATCAGAAATTTCGAGGCTTGGGCAATATTTTTCCCGATAAAATATCGAGTTAATCATTATTAAAAATTGGCTCAAATCGAGCCGTTTAACAACACTACTCGATCTATATTTTTTAAAATCAATTTTTATTGTCGCGTTATTATATCCTGTCACTTTGGCTAAATATAGGATTTTTAGTAGACGATGGATTATAATCAAATATAAAGCCGAACCAAAGAGAGGTAGTAGGATGTAATATAATATTAGTCTCCGAGATATAGAGATAATCCAAAACTCTAAAATTAATTAAATATTTATCGATGCTGGCTTCGGAAATGCTTATGAATCAAAAATGAGGAAATTTTTTTTTTAAATTTGGACAAAAGAGATTTGAGGGCTATATTTTGGAATGATAACGACCAATCCGAACACGGATATATCTGGTGATTGCAATTCTTTCCATACTTTCGAGATATGATTTATGTTTTTTTTAAAAAAACAATCTAAATAACCTTCCTATCTTTTTTCTTTTTTTTTTATTTAAAAAAAAATGATTTATAAAGTTAAAAATCTTCATAATATAATATCAATATGTTTAAATCTTTTGAAATTTGAAATAATAATAATTTATTGCCGATTGGGATTTTGTCCGAAATCTGTCAATAATTTTTCGCTTTTAATATTATTTGGCTTCATTATATCCGAAAACTTTTTAAATTCTTGAATTAATCTCAGGGGATTCTTTCTTCAACTTTTTTTTCCCCCTTTTGGTGACGTTCAGATTAAATTTGTATTTAATAATTTTTTTTGAAGTAAATTAAAAAGGTCTATTCCGGTTAAATAGCCTATCTCGGATTCCATATTGTGAATCTAAACTGCATCGCTTATAGGTTTTTTATAAATTTCTATAACAAATATAATATTTCTAGTTATAGAATAAACATTTTATCTGTCAAAATATATAAAGTATAAGAGCCTGCATATAAATGAGAGAAGCCAATAAAGAACAAGGTGAAGTGGCTTGGACACACGGGAAGAATTAAAGGAGAGGTACAATGAGAAGGGAGTATAAGGGTTCACCAGTAGCAGAAAAGCGATGAAGAGGGTGAAATCGATAAAATAAAAATCAGGAGGTTTAGCGAAAAGTGGATACACGAAGAGATGTTAAGACTTAAAGTCATGGATGGCACTAGGCAGAATATGGATAAATTATTTGCGTGATTAAGGGGGGGGGGATTTTGTACCATTCTCAAAAGAATGACAGCAGAATCTAGATTTTTTTTTAAAAAATGGATTTATTTTTGGCAAAGAATTTTTGGTTTTAAATATTCCACTAAGCTTAGAACATCTTTTAAATAATTTATGAAAACAAAGTGTTATGATAAAAAAAAACTATAAAACGTTTGATATCGCTTTTTTCTCATAACTTCAATAATACAAAATTATTCGTTAATATTTTCTTTTATCGTTACTCCTTCACAGAAACACCACGCATTCATTTTATACTCGTGTAATTTCTATTTTATTTTATTTTTGTTAAAATATTTTTTTTCCTTGGTAAGTAATCTCTGTTCAACAACGATCAATAAGTTTATACTAGTCGGCTTCGTATAATTATAGAATTTTATACATCTATTTTTTTTTTATTTTTTAAAACGAAAAAGAAAATAAAAATACATAATTTTTACTTACAGTGAAACGATACACATGTTTAAATATACTATAAAAGGGGGTAAACAAAATAAGATTTTATTTTTAATAGAATAAAGATTGAAATTAAATATGGACAAGCAATTAATTAAGAAGATTAATAGTTGATTAATCATAATAAAAAAAATGTGTTAAAATTTAATTCAAAATAAAAAATTAAAATATTTACATATTAATTATTTTTAATTTTTCTTAAATAATAAAAAAAAATGTTTAATATAGAATCTTTATTATCCAATAGTAATACTAATTTTTCCAATTTAAATGAAAACTCCCAATCTTCGTCGAGAATTCAAAGACCAAAAAGAATACACAAATATTAAAATAAAGAAAAATTAGATATAGTTACCAAAATGTTATCAATGCCGGAAAAACAACAAATGAAAATAAAAGACATAGCAAAATATGTCGAAATGTCTACTGCATCTGTTCACAAATTTAGACGGGATACATTCCCAGAAATAAATGGAGATCCTTTAAAGGAATATAATATTCAAAAAAGAGGAAGTAAAAAGAAAGATTCTTCCATTATTGAAAGAAGTATCATAAGCCTATTAATGGATAATAACACTTTGACTATTCAGGAGATAATAGAAAAGTTACCTCCTGGTAGTCCAAAAACAAAAACCACAATTAGTAAATATATTAAAAATATTGGTTGGTCTAAAAAAAGGGCTGGCAAGGAGCCTGATAGAAGAAATACTCCCGGGGCTATTAATATTCGTCAAATTTATTGTGCAAAGATCTTAAATATCCCAAGAGAAACTTTATAATTCTTAGATGAGACTGGAATAAACTTGCATGTTGTACCAATCTACGCCTGGGCGCCATACAATGTCCGTCCAATAATAAAAATCCCATCCTTTAAGGGCAAAAATGTAAGTATCCTTTGTACAATCGGAATTGGAGGGGTAATACATTATAAAATAATAGACGGAGCTTATAATGGGCTATTATTCCGTGATTCTATGACGGAGCTTATTAGTATCCTACCACCAGATGCAATCATTGTAATGGATAATGCATCTATCCATAGAAGCCATCTTATCGATTCTTATAAAGGTAGGATTGAATACCTACCACCTTATTCACCTCAGTTAAATCCCATTGAAAATTTTTTTGGAGTTTTGAAAAATAAATTTAGAGCAATCAATCCCCGCCCTAATTCAAGAGATGAAATTGTTAGGAATATTATTCAACTCTTACACGGATTTATTCCTTATGATTTCACTAACTTTTACAATCACATGCAAAGCTATTTGGAGTTGGGTTATCGCGGGCAACGGATTAATTAGGTAATCTTTATAATCGATTTGTATTAATAATTATAATATTAACTCTTTTAATTTCTAAAAAGGTACCAACATCAAATTCGTGGAACAATGGAATATTTTGATAAATTATAATTATATTATTTATGTATTAATTATTTTATCGAAATTATTATAAAAGTTTATAGTGTTATCATATTTTTATCGAAATAAATGGATATACAAAATAGATTACATTTAAGAAATTCTAAAATATTAAAAAGACTTTTTACAAAAAATGATTTAGAATTTTAAATGAAATTTAATCAAATATCTTACTTGAGCATTCTCAAAGAAAATAAAAAAAAAATTCATTTTTCATAACAAATTACACATTTTTTTTATAATGATTAATCAACTATTAATCTTCTTAATTAATTGCTTGTCCATATTTAATTTCAATCTTTATTCTATTAAAAATAAAATCTTATTTTGTTTACCCCCTTTTATAGTATATTTAAACATGTGTATCGTTTCACTGTAAATCATATACAGTTAAAACTTCCGGTCTATTAAGCTTCTGGTCAAAATATATAACAATTTTTTATACACAAGATACACCAGCCAAAATTATTTAAAATAGACAAATTTTAAAAACCCGGGCAGGTTCTCAAAATTTTAAGTCCGAGCTGGCTCCCAGAATTTAACTTGCACGTCTTTTGATATATTGTATTCCTTACGGACTGGTTCTGAAAGATGCCCAAATTAGACAAGCTTCATTTGATTTATCTTTCATTTTTTTAATGTATATGAACCTCCATAAATGAGTGTCTCTTTTTCTTGACCCCATTTGGGCCGATTACTCTATTCCAAAATACTACTAAAAATACGCAATGTTCTATCTATCGATCGAAACATGACTTCCCTTGAGTGATCACTATAAAAAAAGGTTAATAACTGTATTTTAAGTTAATATTTCATTTATTAAAAAAAAGGCCTTTTAAATATAAAATAATAATTTTATCTTTTATACAATATTTAAAAAAAAATTATACATTTTATTTTTTTTTAAAAAATTCCCCATTTCGACTACAAATTTATTTTTTATATTCATAATAAATGAATATTTATTTTAAACAAAATTTAAAAAAGCTAGAAATTTCGAATCGAAACTTGAGCAATATTTTAAGAATGATCCTTTTTTATGTTATGATTTTGCAAAATGTAGATACTAATTTTTTTTAAAAATTAAATCACGCTTAAAACTTCCCCGTTTTTCTTATTTTATGTCCTACTCAGGGATGCCAGAATCCGATTTGGTCCTGATTCTAACAATTTCATTCTTATCCTTCATATTTTTTTTTGGATATATCAAATTCTCCCCCCCCCACCACTCCCCCATCAAAGGCGGGAAAGCTGGCTTAAGAGATCGTTTTATCTAGCGTTTTTTTCATCTCTCAGCTTTTTTACTCCTTTAGATATAAGAGGAGTTTAGAAATTTTGATCACATTTCATATTTGCTTTTCAGCGATAAATAAATTACTTTTTTGTTTACATTACTGAGTTGGAAAATGCTGTAATATAAAAAGGGGCTAGGATGGCCTTTAAGGGCGAAGCCTGCCAAAAGGAAAAAAATATGATTGAATGAAAACTTTAGGTCAATCATAGACTGACTCTTAACTGTCATCGGATTCATGCCTTACACGTTGGCGAAGCATTCAAATATACCCTCAAGCCACCTTATTTTAATAATATTGGCGGCCTCCTTTATTTTGGGACTTACATTATTTTATATTAATGAAATGTATGTGTAATAAAATAATTAGTTGTTGGAGCTATTCGATAGCGAAGATCCTAGAGAAAGGGATTTTCTCAAAACTATTCTCCATAGGATTTACGGAAAATTCTTGGGTCTAAGAGCTTACATCAGAACCCAGATCAATAATATATTCTACAGGTTTGCTTTTTGTTAGCTTTTGACATTTATAATACAATATATAATGATAAGAGTTAGTATTAGATCAAGGGCCGAAGCCTGGCCAGCGGGCTGGACAATTTGTGCACTATTTTACGAGCCTGAATACTGGCCGGGCCGAAAAACCTTAAAATTTTTTACGAACCGCCTCTAGTTATAACTTTTAATGTGACAATCACTAAAGAACAGTTTTTTTTGTGTCCATTATGAGGAAAAAGAAACATGTGTTGTGTAATCACTCCGGACTGGCTTTAAGCCAAAAACCGAGTTTTTAACATAAAACTCGTCTTAAAGAATTGTTTAATATCGAGAGCTGAAAAAATAATTAACTTGTACCTCAAGGCATAACTTTTTTTTTCATACATTTTAAGTTATTAGCCAAATTTAGCAAAGCTTTAAGGAAGATTAGTTAGTTTGTTTTAGACTCATGTAAATGATTTAATTACTTCTGTAAATGGAGTTTCATTTGAACTAGAATATTAGAGATTTGCAAAGCCCGCCCCTCGGACCGGATAAATTTTTAAAGAAATACAAATGAGCTGGGATAGAACTTTAAAAAGAAGATTATGACGGACCGGGTAATTGTAACATAAAAATTTTCGGCCTGGCTATTATAAATATATAATATCAGGTAGGATGTCTCAAATCTCTGATTTTTCGTATAATTTTAATAGGCCAGACCGGGCATTAAAATCTTGATATATTTTTTTAAATTTCAAGCTAATATTTAGATTAATACTATTTGCAAATAAATTACAATATGCTGTTTTTTATATTTTAAGAGTTGTCTAAATAAAATACTTAATCAAATAATAAGTAAATTCACAAAGAAATTAAACAAGATGGCACAATGCAGATATCAAACACAATTGATTTATGAAACCTTTGTAGAAATTAGCCATAGAGGGGAGAATATAAGAACTTTAATTGTTATTTAAAATTGAATATAGATATCAAAAAATTATGGCCAGAATTCGTACAAAATATATTTACCGGGGCGGACTTTTCGTAAAACTTTATCGAGCCTGACTTAAATTTTTGCAAAATTTTTACGAGGCTGGGCAGTGCAAATTTAATTTATAACGGGTCGGGCCAGGTAAATTTAAAAAAAAGTTATAGCAGGTCGGACAGGGCAGTCCTCTACTGATTATGATCTAATGTGTATAAAACACTTTTGGTTTTTAATACTGAATTCTAACTATAATATAGGTTCATATACGAACAAGAAATGCATAACGGGATAGCCGAATTACTAGAAATATTAGGCAGGTAAACAAACATAAATATTTTGTTATTTTTGGCATTTTACCTTGCATATTTTTTTTATAACGTTTTTTAAAAAATTTTTTTGATTAATTTAATTTGGATATGTTACTTATTATAATATTAGATCATAACACATCTAATACAAATTGACTAAAAATGTTTAAATATTAAACTACACTTCAAATATTATTATATTTATTATCTAGTTTTTTTATAAAAAAAATAAATTGGTATCATGTCAAATATTCAATTTTTTGTATTTTGCAAAACATATTATTTATCAAATTTTTATTCATATTCGATTCATAAATTTCGAATCGTATGAGCTATAAGGCTCTACCCATTCACAATTTTACCTATCCGTCAATATTTTTCGATATTCTATATAACCGATCCGATACATATCCGTTACTTGGGAACCAAAATTAAAAACCCAGGATTAACGAAATATAGCATTTGATATTGGGTCTAAAATATTAATAGGTTTAATTAATATTTTCTATTACTTTGGTTATTGGTTTTTAAATTCAAATTATTAATTAAAAGAATAGAAATATTGATTTAAAAAAAACCAGTAAATTTTTAGTTTTAAATAAACATGAAAAAAAAATCTTGGCATTACTGTTAAAACGAGGGCTTATAACCAACTCTCCACATTTTACCGAATACAAATTCTTTTTTTTAAACTAGGAATTATGTAATGAAATCTAACCAAACCCACTCAAATAAAAAAAATAAACGCATTAATTTTGAAACTTTTTATTTAACACAAAAAATATAGTAATAGTAAACTAAAATATCATATAGCTTGTATGTAAAATACAATGTAAAAGATTGATAGAAATTTAATATAAGGGAAATAATTATATGTCTTTAAGAAGGATCCTACATTTGTTTAGGCACAGGCAGGCTTGGATAGTACTTTCATCTAGTGAACAAAGTTGGTCCATTAACATATTGTCCTTCTGAAAACGACCTTTCAGAGCTAGCTGGAATTGCAAGATAATCTCTGACAATTTTCGATAATATTAGATATCTTTTTTTTGATTTAATCTCTGCCAGTCTAGTAGATTTTTATCATTAGTAATTGTTACTTCATCCATATACTTGATTATTTCTACGCTATCATTATTATGACTATGTTTAACTTGATATATTTAACCATAACTCTTGGATTTATTCTGTGTTTCATTTTCATGTTCAACTGAACTAAAATATATTATATTGGGTGTCTATGCTATTATTTTTTAATAAGTGACTTGATATTTGAAAGCGAGGATCAATCATTGTCGATATTATACACACGTTTTATTGAAATTATAATATTTATCAAGTTAAGTCAGCTAAAGAAGCTTATTGTGAAATAGTATTAGGACTATTATTGTCATTCTGAATATGTTCAAAAATGCTAGAATGTAAAGGAATAATGGTTTATAGCTGATGGAATGTTTGTACATGTGGCCATCTTTACAGCCAAATTAAATGGATCCAGAAATTCTCTATAAATTTCTATATTATTCAAGGCTAAGGCACTAATATAATTTTCTTCTATATTTTGTAAATGATTAGTACGTGTTGTCCTATAGGGATTGAGCAACATCATTTTTCAAGCATTTGGTATATTGAATTCCTACTTGTTAGTATATCCAAAATTGAGAGAAGGTTGGATTTTTTTTCAAGAAATATTTTTTAGTTTTTCGAGTTTATTAAATTTAGATAGAGATTTTAAATTTTCTTATTCTTTCAAACTTCATTTAAGGGCTCCAGGGGACCATAACAGTCAAATGTATAACATTAAAAATGCCAAATTGTTACTTGCATTTTAAAGAAAGTAAAAAAATATACCGCGATGTAGTGATCCGCGAAAAAGCCAAATATTTATCTATTTTTAATATTAGAATTCGTTTATATTATTGTATTTAAACAATATATCAAACAAATATATTTATGTAATTGGTATTGGTTATTATATATTGGTTTATATTGGTATTGTACCTAAAATATTGGTTATATTAATTAACTTATTTTAAAGAATATGAGCTATGTTTTATGGGTGAGTGCGAACTTTTTAAATATTTTAAAAGCTTTTTCTTGCACTGCAAAAAAAAAGAAATTATAAAATCTCATTTTTAAACAACAAATAATTCGATTTTTTTTATTTAAGAAATATTTACAATTTTACAAATAATTTAGAAGTATACCAATTATAAAAATAATCTAAAACAATGATGTCGGCCCCTACAATATTTAATATCGGTATGGCCCTAAGACCGTGTCCTGGTTCGTCTTATTTTTTAAAAAGATATATATATAACTTCCTTTAAATAGAATTTAAAAAGAAAGAGGCTTTTAGATTTAGTAAAAGAAAACAGAATAGGGTATCCTATTTAAAAATCTGAATAGAACTGGTTCATACAAGAAATAAGTTTTAAAAAAATAGGACGAACCACAGGACATAGCTCTTATAATTTATTCATAAATTTTGACGTGAATATCGAACAATTTTTTTATAATTAGGCATCTTTGCAAGCACACAAGGTATATTATTTGATTATGGTCCATTTCAAGGTAATTTCCATTTCAACATCTGATTCATTTAAATTTCTATTCGTCTATTTATAATCACATGACCTGTCAGATTTGAATCTAAACCCTGATCATATCTCACAAACCTTAACCAACACTAACCAATATCTAATTTTAAATGTATTTAAAAAAAATTCCTTCATTTGAGCATTCATTGAGCTGGCCAATAATTATATTATTTTATTAAACGCTAATATTATTTATTTTTTTAAAAAAAAGCATAATAAATGGGTTCGCTCTGCCCCTCAAACCAGAACACAAACAATTTCTCCTTAGGGTTTTGCTCCCTTTACACAAGGCTAAAAGTTTATGCTTTTACCACCCTCAACTTACTTATTGCGTTGTTCAATTCTTGGAAAAGGATTCAACTCTCACAGAATCGGTTTCATATTTTTTATTTATCACACACTTTTTATATAGTTTATAGAGAGAAGAATAAAAAAAAATTTGAACCAATTAGGCCTTACCACAAACTCCTGTGCTGCAGCCCGGCCAATCAAATCGCGGCAAATAATTCCATTTTTTTTAAATGGCCGGACTCAACTTCTAAAAATATAACTGCATAATCTTAGCAATTTAACTTTTTTTAACACGCAATTGCTCTATACAAAATCAAGCATTTCATTTTAATATTAAATACAAAAATGTGAGTTTTTTTTTATCCGTTTAAAATTTTTTAGGCTTATTTTTTTTAGTATTAATTTATAGAAGTGCTTTATTTGGATTACCCCCTTTAAACATTTTTTAAATGGTCATATAATAAAATTTATATTAACTGAAAAATGGGCACCTTCTAGTTTGAACAAAAATTCTGATCCTGAGTGATGCCCAAATTAGACAAGTTTTATTCTATTTAATTATTCTTTTTTTAAAAAAATGTTTATGAACCTCCAAAAACGATTAACTCTGTTTCTTGACCCCATTTGGGCCTACTCCTGTTTTTTTCATATATAAAAAACGGAGAAAAGTTTTGAACACCGAATTAGTTTTTTTTTTAAAAATAAACACTACACATAAACAATAAAAAACTATTAAAAAACAACCTTTGTTTTTTTCTAATAGATTTAACATAAAAGTTAGAATTTGAGTATGCAAGAATTTCTAAAATAAAATGAGGAAAGTCATAAGTGGAATCGAATTTTATTATAAATTGTTATTTTTTAATTAATGTAAATTATGGAAAAAATTTTTTTTGTTAAATTTGCTGCCTTGAGGTCATTGTTTATTATTTAAAAATAAAAGAAGATATTCATATTTAAAAATTAATCTCAATATCCTCTAACTTCGCGCGTTATATCTTATAGTACCTCATTTCGATATGTAAAAAAAAATTTTTTATAATTAATAATTTTTACACAAGGTTTTTCCCTGTCTATTTGTTTATTATCCTATTAACTCCTCTCGTAAAATTTGAATAAATTTTATCGTCATTTAAACAGCTAAAAATAGAAAATAAAATCAATTTTAAATATTGTTTTTTAAGTTTGCATTATTGCGTCTTATTGCGTCATCTAGAATTGCGCTTAAAAACATTTGTAGGGAATGGTTATTTATAAGTTAATTATTTAATTTATTATTAAACTCTAAAAGGGTTTGAATGAATAAAAATATTATATCATATATATAAAAAAATAAATTTTAATTAAGGCATTTATTTTATAATTCAAATTTGAAGATAAGAGTTATTACATTACTGGTATTAAATCTCCCCCCTCCCAGATGTTTGACCCAAATTAATCTCCTGGTATTACATCTTTTTAACCTCCCCCCTTTTCGGATGTTTGGACCGAATCATCCATGATATAGATCACATATTCTAAAAAGAAGGCCAATCCATAACCAGAGTCCTTAAAATATGTATCAGAGAACCTATAGAGGTCGAAATTAGATTTTTTTTTTCTTAGCTCAGCCCTGATCTTTCCAGCTGATTAATTTATATAGTTTAAAAAAATATTAATTTTAAAATAAATCAAACCCGTCACGCATTCACAAAATATTTTTATTTCAAGTCCAATTATATTTTCGGGTTCCAAATCGAGCATACAGGTCTCTGACATTATGCTATCTATGTTATACCGTAAACTTAATTCATTTATAGCTAATGTTTTTCTTAAATTTTGAAAGATCTGATTATATCGTTATTTCCAGCAAGTATAGATCGGAAATGACTTTCGAACAATTGACTCCCCTTCCCAGGGAAATCTAACTCCCCAAAAATTAAGCCTGCCGGAAATTTGGACCCTAATTTTTTTTAGTAAAGTTAGGGAATCTCTAAACATTTCGAATGACATTTCTTATTTTCTAAAAAAACGAAGTATTAATTCTATTAAGTAGGAATGTGCCAAATACAGCGAATGCAAAATGCAAAGTAATCTTATTCACAATATTTTAGAATTAAAGATATACCTCTGATAAAAACCTACCAGCCATCTTTAAAATATTTGAACATGAAAAAGAGAGCCGCAGAAATTTGCGAAACCTCTTCAAATATATGCTTGAAGAAGATTCTAAATTTGACAAATTTTTTTTATGTATTATGTTAACAGATTAATCAGTGAGAAACCAGATTTAAGCAACATCTATTAATTCTTAAAAATTTGTGGAAAAGAGGGTTTTCTTACTAAAAAGGGAAATCTATTTGTTTGTAACAGACTTCCTATATCTGATTTATGGTGGGAAATTGTTTATATTAAAAAACACTTAGATTCGTTAAAAAAAATTCTATAGATTATTTTAAGCACATCATATTTTTCCAGACCTTTAAAATATGGATTTTGAAAGGCCCGCCATGACTGCAGTCAAAATTATGAACATTATCCTAATTTATAAATGATTATAATCAGTTTATCGAATAGTGAATTCTAGATCTCAATTCATTGTACATCGTATTCAGTCTACACATCCACTTGAAACATGAAATGTGCAATCCAATATTGTGGGATTCAAACATCTCTATCCCCGAGGGTTCATTTAAAAGTTAAGTTTCTAAATCAGAGTGGATTAAACGCACAATGGAGTGTATGTATGCTGATGAATTCCCATAAAAAAGAATGAGTTAAGGTATAATAAAACGCAAAATATATTTAAAATTATAAGAGTAATTTAGATATATTGCTCTCAACTCCCCGAAATTTTTTCTCCCATTAATTTTACTCCTCAGATCCGCCCAGACCCAGCGATCCCAACCCTGGAAAACTCACTAGGTCTCTGGTATATTAGTTAAAAAATATGACAATTTATAGGCCAATTTTCCTATGACCAATATTTAGAAAGCTAATTTTCCTGGGGTGTCAATTTTCCGGCAATCATAGACACCTTGTGACAAACATTATGACAAAATTGTCCTGAAATTATAGGATGTACTCTATACATGTGGAAGAAATAACAATTCCTCCAACAAAATCGGGTCTTTTAAAAAAATTTTATAAATAATTAAAGTTAAAATCTGTGTAAAACCCGGTCAATTAAGCATATCCTGGAATTCGCTAAAATCTGGGTACATTTAGTATAGACCTGTTTGTCAAGAATGTAAATTTTTTTAATAGCTATTTATAAAGTTTGGCGCAAATGGATATTTTATTAAAATATTCTTGTCAAAAAGTTAAAAATATTTAAGAAAAATAATCAAAATCATTTTTTCAAATTTTGATATTAATAATTATCTTAATTTTTTTTCTAATCACAGAATTTTTTTAGAATATTATGCTAATTTTTTAAAATGTTATGCGAATTTTCTATCAATTTGTCTCTATTTTTATATGAACAAGGTTGTAAATGGTTTGCTCAAATTCTGGCCCAAGATTCACTCGCCTAAAGAAGTTTGTTTTTGGAAATTACCTTTTATAATTTTGAAGAAGAACGTTGTTTTTATTTCTTTAGTATTTTTTTCTTTTCAAATGACTTATAATATATCGGTTCGATGAACTCTGATTGACAGATCAAATACCTCGATTTTTATATTTATTTCTGACAGGACTCGAATCTCGACAAAATTTCGAATCATTTATATCTTCCTAGTGTTATTTTTTAATTAGTAATTGTTTATTATCCCGAAAAAAATATATCTGTAACTATTCACATTTTTTGAGATGCAACGACAACAGATATTTGTTTACTTTTTAAGATTTTATAACACATTTAGTACAATAATATGTTGATGGTCCGCTAGTGTTGCTGAATCTTTCCATAAGAACGGCTAAATCAATATTATAGCCGGAAAAAATGGTGCCTTTTGAAATCTGTTTATTAAGTATAATGTCCCGCTTGCATAAGGCCATCCATTTTAATGTGCAATGCCACTCAATTAATAATATAAAACATTCAAAAATTTAAACTCCTTCCGTACCATAAAAATCAGGTTATGTTTCTTAACGAGTTGGAAGAAATTTTGGACGTCGTTGAACCGGTTGAATTCACAAAAATCCAGGCTCCTCTATTCAGTCAATTAGCTAAATGTGTGTCCAGTCCTCACTTTCAAGTTTAGTCATATTTTATTAAAAATTGTCTTTAAATCTCTCTCATAATTTCACTAAAAAAATTTTTTGAAGGGCCTACCATTTTATTAATTACATTTTTTTAAAAATTATTTATAATTTTAGGTCGCCGAACGAGCCTTATATTTTTGGAATAACGAATATATCATGAGTTTGGTCAGCGATAACGTTACCGGCATATTGCCGCTCATGTTTCCTAGCCTATACAAAAATTCAAAAACTCACTGGAATAAGTTAAATACTTCAACTTTTCTATCTCTTTCCCATTTAATATTGGCGCTGACTATGGGAAGCTAGCGCCTAAAATTAAATTATAGGAATTTAAGATATTAAGAAATTTAAGTCTTATTTACAACTAATATTACCCGAAAATTTAAAAATTATGCCGCATTTTTTTATTTCGTTTTTAAACCGATATACTTGTATAAACTGTATAGTAATTCATTACCAAGTGTGATATTATGTTTTGCATTACATTCTTTTAAAGGACAATAAACGGATTGATATATAACGCCTTGAAATTATTTATGGAAATGAATCAAATGTTGTTCGAAGAATGCACCAAAAAATACGAACTAGCCCTTCAATAGTATAATATTTTTAATTTAGCTACATATAAAGTTAAACTCCATACTTTTCCTCCTAATTTTTTATCAATCACCCACTTACAATGTTTCATATACTTATACCGTCCACTTCTACTATTAGATGTTTCAATCATTTGTAATAATATAAAAATACTTGCACCCAGCGAAATAGACAAAGAGGAAAGAAAGCGCACAGCCTGGACCCTTATCAAAGAAAAAGCTAAAATGAATCCCAAATATCAACATTACAGTGATTCCTTGTCAATAGAGGACGATATCAAGAACTGCTTGACCGTCAATTCGCGAGATTCCAAAATCAACGGGTTTCATTCCGCATATCATGACACGAATTGCTCAGCGAACGATGATACGGAAGGTTTTCTCCCATCCGATACAAATTACGTCAAAGGTGTTGACACGAATAATGTCGATGATTGTAACAAACAACAAGGAAATATTCCTCTAAACTCTACCAACAATACTATTACACAGAGTAATAACAAAGACTTCCTACAAAAATATTCTCACCCGTTTAATAATAATATGGCAATGCTGGATGTTGGCGATATAGGATCCTACGACGAATCAGCGATTGGTAAAAATCGTAATGAATCGGTAAATCCTATTTCTTATTTTTAATCTTTATTTTTTTTTTAAACTAATTTTTGTATATTTAGTTTCCTTGTGTAATATTTCGTGAATGAAATAAAATATCGCTTCTTTTTTATCTTTAGATTCGTAACGAGACATTCAATTCTCCTCAAACTGTGGAAAATGGATGAGAATTTTAATGAATTTTATTACAGTACGAGATTATACGAAAAAATATACTATAATACTAATTTTAAGCCCTAATATAATACACATACTTAAATCGATTATATAAATTTAAGAATCTACTTATATAAATTTTTATTATGTAAAATACTATTTGTTTTTTTTTACAACACAGTGATTGTAAGTAGAGGAACACAAATTTTTATAATATTGTATTTAATTTATTTTTTTTAAAAAAACCATTTATTTTAAATATAGTAAAAAAAATATATTGAATTATTTATAATAAATTTTAATTTTGTATATAGATAAATTATATACAAAAGGACAAACTAATTCTTAAAATATATTGTTTTAAATCAAATTTAAGAAATCCTTGTATGAATCAGACCAGTTATATTTTTTTCATATAAAATAATTTATTTAATAAAAAAAAAGAATTCTAATTGCCAAAATATGTTTTTTTCATTACAGAATATTAAATAATATAGATTTATGGTCATAAAGTACGAAATCTGTGCATATTATCATAAATATTTATATAATGCTTTAAATGCGTAAGATTTTTGAGGATTATTTATTAGCGAATCCACGTTAAATTTTCATTTTAGAAGAAAATTATCCGATGTTACCATAGTTGTAGCCAACCCCTGTGCCAGTCCCGTACCCGGAGCCAATAAAGGCGTTGGTGTATGCAGGTCTAAAACCAACCGAACCCATAGCTCCAAAGTTTCTTAGACCTCCCCCAGTACTTCCGGCAGCCGCTATTTGTGTGCCAGCTAGTTCCAGCGCGTTCATACTGTTTCCTACGCTGGGGATGAAAGCCGTGCCCCCTCTGGAAAGAGGCATATTGTTATAGAAGGCCATGTTATTAAGTCTAAGTCCATTGTTAGCGGAAGACAGAAGATTTATAGGGTTGTTGAAGGCATTAAAGGCGGTGTTAAGGTAGAGACCATTGTTAAACCAGGGGTTAGCAAAATTTTGCATCATAAATTGATTGTTCATGGCAAAAGGGTTCATTCCATTCATGATAAAGGGGTTGATGCCGTTTGTGGCAAAGGGGCTCATACCGTTTGTGGCAAAGGGGTTCATACCGTTTGTCATAACATAAGGGTTTAATAATGTCGGTCCTCCGAGGTTTACCGTGTTAAAAGGACTCATTCCCAAGCCGTTGCCTGCCAGAGTTCCTGACAAGAAAGGATTCGTTAATTGGGATCCGGAAGTATAGAGACTATTTGTGGGCAAATAAGAAACCCCGCCGCTCATAGGGTTGTAGATCAAGAGTTGGCGACGTTTGTCTGTGTCCATAACCTTGTTTCCTGTTGTGGGATCTTTATTCTATTGCAAAAAAAAAATATTTATATATAATCAATAAAATATCTTCAATTTTATTATTTACCAGTACGGGTTGAAGGTTTTTTGAAGGGGATCTTTTCATTCTTCTCAGAAAATATTTAACTTCTATCAAATTTTCGTTAAGGGCGAAGTTTTTACTTGAAGCAATGGCGTCGAGATTTGAAACTTTAAACACAATCGATCTTGATGATATAAGATTGATTCTATTTGCCATAGCTATCTAAATATTTATAATATATTGATTTATTGAGGTATATTTTTTATAAAAAAGCACCCGAAACAGGCTTTTTGCGTCCCTTTTCCGACCAAAAAAAAGGAGTTACTTTATGGATTTGCGAACACTTCTGGAAAAAATATTGTCCTTTATTCTTATTTTTCTTTATTAATACATCAAAACATGTTATAGCATCTTTAGAATATTTCAACTTGAGTGGAAAATACTCATTTAAACCTTCAATCATATCATCGATACACCTATACCAGTTTTTCCAGATATTTATATTTTATTTCTAAGTCTATTCAAAATATAAACTGGGATACCCTATTTTGATTTGTTTTAAGTGTGTACTACTCTTTTCTAAAAAGAGAAGACTAAATAACTTTCGAAAAGTCTATTTTTTGAGTGTATGCCCTAATTGTTCTTAATTTTTGTTTTAAATCCAGTTAGATTTAAAGTTACACAATAAATAGCCTATTTTTATTTTAAAGAAGCAAAGTTTTGTTCTGTCTAGAAATAAGATAACAAGACCATCTTATTTCTAAACAGTAGGCTGTTTAGCCTATAGCTTCCTCTAAAAACAGCCTAAAAAAGCAAGAGACGGGTATCTTTGTGAGTTTTCGAAATCAAAATATTTGTTTAGTGTACACACTGAACCAAACCAAAATAGGACCTAGTTTTAAACCTGTTTATATCCCGAACTTAACAGAAATATCAAAAATAAGACAAACTGGGATACAACTTATTTAAATCTTGGGGAAAAAATTATAAACGAGCATCGACGTGTTTGCAAAATCCAATATACTTGAAAATTTTTACTTTTCCGCCGAAAACAAAAAAAGGAACAAATATTCGTCTTTAAACAATATATATTTAGTTCCAGTTGTCATTCAACTTTGAGTAACTTTGGTCATGAGCGTGCAAAAATTGCATCTAAATTTTTCAAACCTTTAGAAATGTTTAATTTGGTATGGGCAAAAAATACAAAGTTTCCACCGAATGAATATCCTTCCGATATTTGGTATCTGCACATCTTCGGATATGACCCAATTGAATGGATAAGAATTTCTATTCATGTAGGCAAATTTTCATCATAGGAACCGATTTTGATTCCCGAACATGGTATCCATACATTGAAATAGAAAATGCGATATAAGCAGATATTGAAATCGATCATCTTGTATTGGTATTATTATAACTATTTTATCCCATATTTTGTTTCAGGTATCTTCTTTTGGCAATTCACAATGATAATAGAGGTTAATCTTAACCTTGCCAATATCTTTCCAAAACCATTACTTTTATTTAATCAGGCATGGGCGTTTACTTACCATTTTTATTCCATGGGCGTTTACAATGGCTTTGTCCCTGGTGAGCACAGTTAGTTGCAGCCTGCCTAAAAACTTGTGGATGGGCTTCTCACTTAGGTCACCCCTCCTCCCCCCCCCCCCCACCAATTTTTTAATCTAATAAGATGGGATTTGAGAGTGTCAAAGCGTAGCTCTGCCATTTCGCATAGCGAAACGGGTGATGCACGTAATATCAAGTAATTAATTCTCTTTCGGTTATTTATTTTTTTTGAAGAAATATATATAAATTCATTTTCCATTTAGAAAATTTTTTTCGATTCTTTAATGTTTTTAAGTTTTGGATTATTTAAATTAATTGGCCCATAATAATTTGATAAAATAATTATTCTTAATGACTTTAGGAAATGTAAATCGAACTAAAATATTAAAAACATAAAAATAAAAAACCAACAAATATTAAAAAGAAAATACGTTGAATTTCTTTATTTTATTTGTACCTCGCCGCGAATTCGCGCTACCTGTGAATGGGGAGTAAGGCCACCAATATAGTAAAAGTTCAACGCTGGGTATTTTTCAGCAGGCAAATAATAGGTAAAATTTATAATCTAGAGCGTTATAATTCATTTCATCGCGCATTCTTTATAAATTTTACCTATTATTTCCTTGTTTATAAAAATACCCAGAGATGAGTGTTTACTATAAATGAGACCTAGGAAATGGCAAATTAAGGGATATAAATCACATCTAACAAAAAAAATTTTAATTATCATTTTAAATAAAATAAATATATTTTTAAAAACCGTTATGAATCGGTTCAAACAGGTTCAGATGTATTTTATACCGGTTTTCTCCTTTCAAAATTTCCTTATAATTATCGTTTACCTTTCGTAACATTATAACGGTTTATTTGCTGTTCGGTTTGATAATGGTCTATAATTATAAATCGTAAATAAAAAGCAAATAACATCTCATAATTAAGAGAAGTAAAACCTAGCGATTTCCCGCCAACACTCATCCCATCCTCCTCTCACCAAAAAAAATGAATAAATTATATAATTTATTATCAGAGACCTGCAGGCTCGGCCCTAAACCCGGGCCGTGTATTTTATAACCAAATATAAATTGCCATTAGCTATAAAAAAAAAATTAAATAAATATAATATATTTTTTAAAAAACATATATTTTTGACAAATTTATCCAGGCTTAAGTTCTTTCAAAGGGGCCTAAAATTATCCTATAAAATTAATGGTGAATAAAAAAAACTCCTCAAGTCCTACTTTTCTTAGGAAAATCGTGGTTTCAGTTAAATTGATAAAATAGAAAAATAATAAGAATATTATTGCGATGATAATGATCCAGCATTTTTTTTCTAGATACCTGAATTCCCATTGAGAGTGGGGTAGGTATTTAAATGAAAAAATATTAAATTTAAAAAAAATAAATTAACTTTTACTCGAAAACGTATAAATTTAAACTATCATATTTATATTTAATATTATATTCAAAAATTGGACTAGTACATGTTAATAAGAAAATGACTTACTACTAGCAAAAGAATATACATGTTTGATGAAAATTCTGATAATGTTAGATCCTCATTTTAACCCATGATATTCATACCTGAGGATATGAATCTTCTTTAAAACTTCAAAATATTTGCGAAAAATAATTATTTTTATTTTGTATATTTTTCGAAATATAAATGAAATAAACTATTGACATAATTTGTTACAAATTTACATAGTACATATCGTATATATGGGACAATTTAAAAAGAAAGGAAAAAAATCCTAAATGAATTTATAAATATATTTTTCAAAAATTTATTAAAATATTGATATTATATTTTGATGAATTATCAAAAAAAATATATCTTTTTTTATCTTCATTTTTCTAAAAATCATGAAAATTTTGTAAAAAAAATTATATATATATAAATTACAAAAAACCTTGATTAAAAATGCCATTAAATTTTAATTTTTTTTACATAGATAAAAAAATAAATAAAGATGGGAGTCGAGGTCTTAATAATATTACAAAAAAATAATTTTATTTTTAAATTTAAAAAAAATGAATATTTAGTATAAAAGCTAAGCATAAGAAGCATCACTGTTATATATAACCAAGCTACAAATTAGATTAAAAAACTATTAACAATGTTATAAATTATTATTCCAAATCTAAAATTAGACTCTGCAGACTTGTTCACTATATTTTTTAAAAGTAGTGATAATGATAGGAATTTCTAGCAAGAATCTGAACTTTTAATCACGGCTTAATTTAGATACTTAATTGCTTTTTAGTATAAAAAGTATTATATGGAGGACAACCTATTTTGGTTTACTCGTATTTTGTTTCGTGTTTTATTGTTTTTTTTTGTTTTTTGTTTAAATATTTTCTTTGGCTTTTTTTGTTATTTAGCCGATACTTAAAAGACGGCTAAATAGCCGGCTATTGAATATTAAGCCTTAGGACACGTGCTATGAAATATATATATTATATTTTAAAAAACGCATAATTATATATAAAATATTTACAAAATCACATCAATGCTTAGATATTTTTATTTGCTTATAAGAATGATAAATTTTAAAAGTTTTTATCTCCAGGGAGGCTAAAACCAGATCGTGTTTAGGTCTCGGTCGAGTTCGGGAGTCAATATTAATTAGGAATACCAGAACTATCAATCTAAAATAAAAGTTGTTTTTTTGTAAAAGTATTTTTAGTAAGACTGTTGAGGTAACAATTGGAGAATATTGAAATAGAAAGAACTGAAAATAATAATCTCAGATTTTATATAAACATATAAATTAAATATTTTACTACTACTTTATTACATGCTCCAACATAATTATAATATAATAAGATATAAAAATTAAAAAGCAAAGGGTTAAATTAAATAAAAATTAAGATACTTTCCCAAAAATTGGATAGTGGTATAATATTTACAAAATCTCATATTGTAATAATTCTTCTAATTTCAATAATACATTTTTCGTTTTCATATAAATATTACAACAGTAATAACTGGTAAAAAATTTGAAAAAATGGTAATCAAATTAGGGCATGTATCTTAATCATTAGGAGTTAAAACAAAAAATCAAGTTTGGAAGCAAACCTAATAATTTTTCTTTGCTTTTGTTAAAAAATTGATCATAAAGTAACTAAAATTTTTAAATTCGGCATGGACACGGGTTCAGTTGAAAAAATCAGGTTATAAACCTAAATATGTTCTAGCCCATGTTCGGGAAAAGTTTCTAACCAGCGTCCGGAGTTCTAGATTCTGTTAGGAACCCTGGTTAAATGATATGTATAATATATGGAAGCTCCTTTAAATATTCTGCTAACATATCTTATAAAAATTGTATGTAAATAAAATCCTCGATGAAACGAGAGTTAATAACAAATTTTTTTAAATTTCTTTAGTTTCTTTTTCAGTATGAACATCGCTCATTTGGATAAAATAGATGTAACAGATAAATTTTCTTCTCCTAAACATGGATCATAAAAATTAATATTTAAATAAAATAAATTTTGGATTTTATATTTATAAATAAAATTTATACTAAATAATAAAAAAAAATTCAAAATATTCTTATTTCTATTTATTTCAAATAGTTAATACAAATTACCTTTTATTTTTTTTAGCATTTAAATTAAATATGATACCATTACATTTTGTCAAATAAATTGAAATATTTTTAAATTCTTCTTTGTAGAATATTTTTTTCATACTCAAAAAAAATATTTAAATAAATTCGGGCCGGGCCAGGCGGATAAATAATTTTTATTTGGGGTCGGGCTTTTCGAAATGAATAAAATTCGTTCGGGATCGGGCCGGGCCGAATAAATATTTTTAAAAAGATTTTGAGCTGGGCTAGAAAAATTATGCCCGATGCAGATCACTATTAAAATTCAAATACTCTTTAAATTATTCCAATAAATTTCATATGAAGTGTATTTGTATCTTCTCTTTTCCTTTAGCAATATAAATTCATTTTCTAACTACACTGCTGCATGAAGAATTAATAATCACTAGTAAATCTTCTTGTTCCATCTACCTTTGTTAACGAATTGCATAAAAGTAGTGTCTTCTATAATAAAACAGGCAGACATCATGTATAGTATCTATATAAAATATACAATGCAGGCTTCAACTCTTTCATAATCCGGTGTGATAATGAATGAATAAACAAAATATTAACATTGTTAAATGTCGAAAAAAAACCTGTTCTTTAAAATATTAAAAATATCATTTTTAAATGGCCCGGGGGGGGGTGAGGGGGGGGAGGGGTTCGAACCTCTTTTTGAAAGTTGGTTTCGATTAACTTCTTATTATCAAAATTTGTGCTAATAGAGTTGAAATCTTGAACCTGGGTTAGGGTTTACATCCTTGGTTTTGTCAAGTAACATAATCTAGCTAATCATTTAAGTCTATACAATTACTTAAATATTAATCACATGAGGGTGGATTTAAGGTTAAAGGTAGTGTTATACGGTTTTTTAAAAACGGCTACCAATATTTTAGCCAAAAAATGTTATGCAGGTCTCAGGATTTCAAAACCTTTCTTTCATCTATGAGAAAAATCTCCAGGCTTGTGTACTATTTATGGCTAAAATATTCGGTTAGCCGTTTTTAAAAATCGAGCCGTTTTAAAGGGTTGAGTCTAACAAATTAAAACAAATATTTGATTATTAAGAAAAATATTAAAACAAAAATAATATAATCATAATAAAATAGGAAGTTAAATTAGAATGGGAAGTAAATTAAAAATATTTAAAGCATGGAAAAACATTAATGAAAATTTTTTAAAAAAATCATTAGAAAAATGTAATAGTTTTCATAACAATTAACGCCATCGTTTGAGCCGATATTTGAATACATACAAAATACATTTTTTGTAAATATATTAGGCTTAAGATAAGCCTTATTTAATTATTGTAGGAATGACTCGAAACTAATGGAATAGATTATTATTATATTAGTTGAGTATATTAAACTTATATAATAATAATTTTCTCTTTCTTACATTACTTAAATTTACACAAATCTATTAAACATTCAACTTAACATATAGTTATAACCTAGCATAATTTCATATTATTAACTTTAAAATAACAAACTAAATTTTGTTCACATGACAAGTAGACCTAAAACGAATTATTCGTTATTCGATATTTGATTTTTACGAATACGAAATTCGAATAAGGAAAATATATTATTCGACAAATAATTTTTTATCTGATTCGATCATTTTTGTAGCTAATCGAAATATTGGAAAATAATATATTATTTGAAGGAATTCTTTAAAATATTTTTATTTAATTAAATTTCCTAGTGGAAAAAGAAGCATTTTATATTTCTAAAATTGTAACAGCTCTTTTTATTCGAATAACTTCTTAATATTAAATTTACTTCCAAAGATTGTTAAATTTGATATGTAAAAGTTGTCTTCCTGGCCATTCAAAGCTTAGTATGTATTGACTGGCTATTTAACCGGCCATAATATAATTTAAGAATTTTATTATAAATATGAATACTTCCAAAAGGCCTATCTTATATATTCCTTCATTTTTTAGGTATATAAATATTTAATTATATACAAATTTAATTAGTACATCTAAATTTTTCATCATCCATTTTGTTAATATTTTATAAATTATTATCTTAATTAACCTTTTGTTAATCATTCTTATTTCAATATAAAATTAATCACTATATTTAATTATTTTATAAATTATTATCTTATATGTTAAAATGATTATTTTAATAATTAAATCACAGAAATTTATAAATTTATGAATCTAAATAAACTAAATTAGACATTAAATTTTTTTAAGAATTTATAAGAGGATACAATCCGAAAAACGTTGTGTTTAAAAAATTGGTTGTTATCAGATTTTTCTTGATATATTGATTTTTCTGCATTATATATATATATATACTAGTGATGATAAAAGTTACTTTTGAAACATAACTAGTTACAGTTACTAGTTACATTGGCAAAAACATAACTAGTTACAGTTACTAGTTACATTTTTACAAAAGTAACTAGTTATTAGTTACAGTTATTTTCTAAAGTAACTAGTTACTTACTTTATACATCATTAATATACGCATTATTTATTTATTGAATGAATTTATTTAATATAAAAAAAATTAGGATAAACAAAGTATAATCAGTTATTTAAAATAATATACAATTTATTTATATAAAAAAATATCGCAAAATTGAATATTTACATCGAATATAAAAATATATATTTACATTAAAAAAAAACATTTATTTTTCATAAAAATTAGAATCTAATAAATGTTTATTTGCTTTTAACATCAAATTAATTTCAAAGTTATTATCTAGGAGACGTGCCCGTTTATCTCCAAAAATGAGCTCACCTAGACTGAACAAGCGCTCTACGGGAGCACTTGATGTTAGTACAACATTATATTTAATAAAGAGTAATTTTAACTTTGGAAAATCGTTATATAAAGAAAAAGTGTTGTTATTAGATTTGATAAAGTTTTCTATAAGTTCATTATCTAGAATATTTTGGCGCTTTAGGTCAAAAAATTCAACTACATCAATGTTAGTTTTGAGCATGATTCATTCGTCTGGGATTCACTTTGAGGTATTAAGGTATTTATTAAATTTAAAATTTCCTCCTTTTTTGCCATATTCCTT